ATATACATTTTTTTTAGGAGAGACACAACAGACTTGTGCTGAATCTGACCTTATCTCTAAAAAATGTCATTTGTTCATCAATCTGAGCTGTACTATGTAATCATCTTTTCTTTTATTTCATTTCAGACCGCCCAGAGCTGTCATTAGCCCACTTCCTGGCTGCAAAGAGCATCATTGACAGCCATTCAATAATAATTGTTTGGGAAGCAGAATTTAAATGATATATAATTATTATAAAAATACAAAATAAATATATATTATAGATTTTTGGAGGACTCTTAAAAACAACAAATGACATTTTTCACTGTCTGCTGCCTTTGACATCACAGCTCAGCATAGTCGCCAGTGAAGGGTTGCCGTCAGGCAATCATCATTATCATGATGTCATTTTCCTGCAGCCCTGGAGTCATTAATCACTTGGCATTTATAGTTCAGGTGATTGGCTCCTGGCAACAGAACTGAATGCTCATAGGCCGCCGTGAGGAAATATGGCAGATTTCAAATAAACCACTACTCCAGAAAGTGCCACTGAGATGAATGGAGTGCAAATAGTTTTCTAATCCTCACTGGATAGCAAAAAAAAAAAAATTCTTATGCTGTTTGCCTAGCGCTTGAAAATGGACAGATTTATGTATTTTTATGCATTTTGCAATGCCTTTGCTCACTGTGTGGCCTTGTTTAGAAACAAATAAGGGTGTGTTTGGAGTCTTTATGCTCAAGGGTCTACATGAAAAATAGCAATTAGTTGATGTGAGAAAAGGAATTTTTCTGAGCTCACAACACAAATCTGTCACCATTGAGGCCTTGAGCAAGGCACATACTTTAAGCAGAGTATTGGAACTCATTTTTGATTGAAAAGTTCTTGGTAAACAACAAGTAACCAATAATCACATAAGAACGTTAGAACAGCTTGTAACAGCTGTAATTAAAAAGAAAAATTGTATGAAAACATGCACCCTAGAGAATGATAATTGCATGATTATATAACAACAGGTGAAAATGAATGAATCTCCTTTTATTGATGGTCATTTCCACGTGCTCAGCAGAGACACAATAGATTTGTCTTGGCCTGGTTTCCTGAAAATTTAAACTGGTTCATTTTCTGAACTATGTGAGCTTTACATATACCCCTTTTCCACCAAAGCATTTTGAGAGCCGGTTCGGAGCCAGTGCCTACTCGCGAACCAGTTCTTTGTGTTTCGACAGCCAAAGAACCGGTTCTCGGCCAGGAAAATTGGTTCAAAGCGGTACCAACTCTTTGCTGGACAAGAACCGCTCTTTTACGACGTCATGCTTACGTCGGGGGCTGGGGACGGGGTTATTGTGACCAACAACACGACGGGAATAGGAAAGCTAAGATGTATGGCGATGTACAGTGACGTAACAACGTCGTTCGCTGGGCTCTCTAGTCAGTGGAAAAACAAACAGGTTCTGAGAAGGTTCGCAAGTTGAACCAACTTTGAACCATGCAGCCAACGCTATCTCACGACCAATTCGTACGAATTCGTACGAGTGATTAAAAGGTGGCTAATTCGTACTAATTAATACGACCTCACTCGTACGAATTCGTACGATTTGTCTAAACCCACGTGATGGGTAGGTTTAGGGGCGGGGTCAGGGGTAGGTCATTCGTACGAATTCATACGAATTTGGTAACTCGTAAAATATGTACGAATTAGCAAAAATCGTACGAATTTGTACGAGTAAGGTCGTATGAATTAGTACGAATTAGCCACCTCGTAAAATTCTTACGAATTGCCGTGAGATCGGGCTGAACCAGCACCAGTTCCGAACCCGTTCTTTTTTGGTGGAAACGAGGTTTAAGTCGGGCACGTAATCTGGATAATTTAATTTGGATAAAAAAGTGCTGGCTTAATAGTAACTGCATATTAGAACATTGTGTGTTGCTGTAATTTAGCGCAAATATTTCTGCTTTGTGTTTCTGGGTGGAGTTGTTGAAAGTTCGGTTCCACATCCTTAAGGTAGATAGATTTGCACAACATACTAATATGCAGCCTGTTCTTATGCGGCAGTTTATGAGAACATGATGTCTGGTGAAGTAGGTAAGCAATTAAACACAAAACACTTTTGTTAAACTATCATGTTGGTATTAAAGTGTTCAGCAATCAGCCCATTTAAAAGTATATACTTTTAGTATATGCTACTAGTATATACTATGAATAATTACAAATTAAACAAACAGTACTGCAGCGCTTCACAATGTTAATAGTTAAAGCAGCACTAAGTAGGAATTCCGTTTTTGTCAAACAGCGACCCCTAGAGTCGCTGTGGAGTACTTGTACTGTCGTGAATAGCACTCACGCAGAGATGGCTCGCACTCACGGCCGGATCCCCTCCCCCTTTACACCAGTACCTGTTTAGTAGGATGGACGCTGTAACGAGTGGAAATAAGGTATGGCCCCTTTAAGAGCTGCGGGCGCCCAACACCACATGTATACGGCGCCGGGTTATTTCTGTTTGATGCTCATTTTATCAGAATTTTATCAGATCTGTTTTTTGCCGTAAAGCAATTCGTTACCTCGCGAGACCTGCTATCACACGCTACTTCCTAACACTGAGGCCGGAGGCTCGCCGGCCCAAAGTTGCAAGGGTGGTTTTGCGGCTCACAGGCACCAGGGGGGTGCGAGACGACCACCATTCAACACGAAATCAGTAATATAAACATTACAATGAGTCCAAAGCTGTTCGGTTAAGGTAAAAAAGTTACTTAGTTCACCTTTAAGTTTGACAATATGTGAAACTATTAGAGGTTACTTCGTTTTAAAAGTGCAGTTCTGTTCATTTTATCAGTGGAATGGAAGAGCTAGACAGAAGATATAGTGCGAATTTATGTAACAATTGTAGCAGATGCATCTCATTCAGTGCCAAACTCATGCAAAAGCCTTTCTAAGAGATAGAGAGCAGCTGCCTCTCAGACATGTGCTTTCTCTGAGGAATAGGATTTTCCATCAAACAAACATTCTCTCAAAGGGGCCCTCTTTTAGGAAAGAATACCTCTTCAAAATTAGGGAAAAAACTCTGAGGCTATGTTGGCCCAATAAACTGATTAAGGCAGAGACCGAAGTTTGGAGTTGTTGTTACTATTTGAATGCCATGCCAAAATAATGTTTCTTGCAATTCCAAGCCGCACATCAGGGCCACAGTGTTAGTGTTAGTAGACCATCAGGTTTCTTTGGCAGTGATGGGTTTTTAGAGGCACTTTTAGCAGTCATGATTTTAATTTTTATTTAAATGATACAGTTGAGACAAAATAGCCTGTTGATTGCTGAAGGTCTGTAAGGAGTTTAGGTCCAATGTTTCTAACCTTTAAATATCCATATTGCCACAAACAGTTGTCTTAAGGATCTGTCTGTGAGAACTATTCTTCTAGGCTTTGTGGAGTGGAGAGGTGTCTGAAACTGTCCAGCTAACCGCTGGGGAACCTCAGGGTTCGGTGCTTAGCCCTCTCCTTTTCTCGTTCTGTAACATCTTTGTGCCCTGTTATAAAGTCTCATGACTTTTCCTATTACTGCTGTGCAGATGATACACAGTCATTCCATTCCAACAACTCAGCATATATCTCAATGACTTTATGACATTTTGTACTGGATGAAGGAACACCACCTCTATCTCAACCTTACTGATGTCAACAACACTACAGCTAGCCAGGAATCTTGTTATCGTATTTAACATCCAGCTGAACTTTACAAACCGCATCTTAGCATGCATATCCATGCTTCATAATATTAGGAAAATTAGAGCCTTCTTATCACATTATGCTGGTCCATGCACTTTTGTATATCCATTCATATTAAATTGAAATATCTGTTGGTTTATGTTTTGCACTTACCCTTCCGGTCTAGCTTTAATTAAATACATTCATCCAAAATGATGATTTTGCAATGTTTAGGCATTTTTATTTTCAGACATTTCATTGATAAGTTACAAAACAAAAAGAAAGCAGCATCTGGAAAACATTGCATAATTTGTATCTATTTTATACAATAAAAATGTACAAAAATAAATAGCTTTACAATGAAGAAGTAACAAAGTACAGTCCTTCACTGAAGGGATATGTTTTGCTGCATTTTAATATGACTAATATGTGAAATGTACACAACTGGACATTCATATACAATCATTTTAAAGGAGCATTACCTATTTGTCAGTTTAGTTTTATGCTGTACTGGTTTTTTTTTTCTCAATAACGTTCAACTACACAGCTCTTTCAAAATCTCAGCAGACATCTACTCATGAAGCATGAACACACTGGAAGGTCTGATGTTTTCAAACCTCCATGTTTTCATTCACATAGCAATTCACAACAATTTGCTATGTGCACTTTTGAAATTAAACAGTGTTTAATACAAAGAACAGCTATAGTAAATGGTAAATTACATAACCTTTGTATAACCCTCTGGACACAAACATTGTTTGTTGAGGAATTTTCAAAAGTAAAATTTAAACTAGATCTAACACTTAATTGTAATTATTAATGTTCAAGGAAATAAATTAGACTCAACCACTGTGTAACTCTGATACAGTTTTCAATATACAAGAAAATAGGACTAATATATATGATCATGCTTTAATCAAGTGTTCTTGCTACACTGCATCTCTGAAAGTGAAAATAACCTCTGATAAATGCAAGCCATAAAAAAAGTAAAAGTCAATAATTATTGACCCAATCACAAAGTAAATCAAAAAAGAATTATAGCACCTTCATAGTGGCTTAGCGAGCACATACAAAATACAAATACATTTTAACTAAATGATTTCTGCCCTTATTTTAAAAAGTCAGCCTGAGATAAATGTAAAAGTCTTGGCTGATTGGTGTGTTTTCTATTTTTCAGAATCATTAAATATGACATTTTGAAACCTAATCTATATGTAATTGGGAGACACAAGTTAGGAAAACAGCATTGCTTGCTGAGGTAGATATCTATTGGATAAAACTTCAATAGTGGTTATTAATATACATGTATATTAGGAAAATCAGTCCGTGCAATATTCATGAACAAGCTCACTCCACACAGCTCAACCATTTCTCCACCTAAAGCTGAATATTTCCTGCTCCAACCTGAAGCACGGTCAAATGATAATCTGTATATTGTTTCACAGGAACGTCTTATCACCTCTGAATAATTTGAAAGCCTGCATGATGTCCTCAACACTCTTGGTAGAAACACTTTTCCGATACTGGCTGAGGCATCTTGGCAGTGTCACAATTCTCCGGTTCCACAATCTTCCCAGTGTAATCAATGCAGAGCATCTTACGCTGGTGTTCACCATGGCCACAAGTTTGTGAGCATGAAGACCAAGGTCCTGTTTGCCACATGGGACATGGCAGGTCTGCGCAGGGCCTGATATCAGAAAGTCTGAGATCTTTATTGCAGTGGTTTGAATAGAAGCCAGCATTGTCTTTACATTCCACATTTCTCCTGGACCATCCTGAACCACACGTTTTGGAGCATTCAGACCACTCGCCCGAGACCCACTGAGGTACCCCAAAGGGATGGATCAGTTTGCCAGCCATCTTTTTGTCTTTAGGTTTGCTGAAAGACATGGTTTTAGGAATGTAGAAGGTGTATTTGACCTTCGGTGGGATGGATTCCCCAGCGGTGGACAGCAGCAGGATTGTGATTGGTTCCTGTAGCTGGCGGAAGCTCTGAAGTCTCTCCAATGTGGTGGACGAGCCACTGTACTTCAGCACAGCCCCAAGCACTGGAATATACTGCTCCACTGTGGAGACCGAGAAGTTGCCATTCAAGATATAATCGCCATTTTCTCTTCGTACAGCCAAGTAATATCCATCGTGTGGTATACTTCCATGGCTCTGCTGTTTGATGTTAATGTTAGTGGCTCCACTTGGAATAGTCACAATGTCCCTATATCCATGGCTAAAAAAGAAACAGGTGAGATTTCGATTACTGTGGCCAAAATGAACCAACATTTTCATTAAAAATAGCAGTGAGATATTCTTACATGACTTTATTGAATGAGCCAGATATCATCCTGCAGCTCTGACCGTTCCCTCCGCACACGCCGCATTTGTCGAGCTTCTTATTAGAATCGATTTCCAGGTCACAACCAGCTTTGATACATTGGCCTTGCACACAGAAGGATGTGGTATCTGGACCGCATAGGGTTCCATCAATTACCTAAGATTGAGACCATGTAAAAAATTATAATCATTTTAACAGTAAAATATTAAAAATGCTACGGTAAAAACCTGTTAATTGGTTAGCGGTAAGTTCCCTTAGTCTACATGTTGAAATACATGTTAATCTAATGGGACATTTCATGTCATTTTACAGTTAAAGGGATAGTTCACTTTGAAATTAATTTTTGATATGTTTTAGCTTACCTCAAGGGCATCCAAGATGTAGGTGTCTTTGTTTCCGCAGTAGTTTCAATTTTGATATTTTTAGGTCAAACCGTTCTTGTCTGTCAGTCATATAATGCAGGTCTATGGTCACCACCTCAAAGAGCATGCACAGAGAAGTCCGAATTAAACACGATTTAATGACTCGTAAATGTAAGTACACATTGATGGCCAAAGACACGAAACGAGCGGTTTGTGTGAGAAAACGAACAGTGTTTATATCATTTTTACCCCACACAGCCACGTCCAAGTGATCTGAGGCCGCGGGCGCTTCGGTCTGTGCGTTACAAGAGGTAAAAACGATGTTTGTTTTCTCACACAAACCGCTCGTTTCGTGTCTTAGGCCATCAATGTGTACTTACATTTACGAGTCATTAAATCATGTTTAATTCAGACTTCTCTGTGCATGCTCTTTGAGGTGGTGACCATAGACCTGCATTATATGACTGACAGACAAGAACGGTTTGACCTAAAAATATCAAAATTGAAACTACTGCGGAAACAAAGACACCTACATCTTGGATGCCCTTGAGGTAAGCTAAAACATATCAAAAATTTATTTCAAAGTGAACTATCCCTTTAAATACAGTATTTAACTGTAAAATTACATCAACAGTTTTTGGAAGTGAAAAAGAATTTCATAATTTACAGTGAAAAACCAAACTTACATTCCCAGAATTCTGTGTAACTGCTTACATTTGATTTTTTGTTTTAAGGAAATAACAACATTTATTAGTTGTGTAGCCTCCATTAGGGTTTATATTTTACATATTTTGTTGTTAAATTAATGTTTATTGGATTATTTTAGTGTCATGTTACTATGAAGGTGTTTTGTATTTGTGTGTAAAATTATTATTTTTCACAGTAAATTTTCTTCCTGTAGCTTAAACAGTAAAGCACTAACAACGCCAAGGTCATGGGTTTGTTTCGCAGGGAAAGCAAGAACTGCATCTGCCAAAAGTCTAAATGTAAATTTAAGTGTGCTCACACTATAGATTTGAAGAAAAAAAAGTGCAACTTACTTTAGGTGCAAATACTCTGAATTCACTGCTGCCTCGTGCTCTGCAAAAGAGTTTGCATCTATCCCGTAGCGACACTCCAGCGTATTTTGGTATCCACTGCTTCACATTTCCATGCACGTCGAAGTGATAGGGATTGTTGTACTTCTCACATTGTTCCTCTCTGAAACTTTTCCCTGCAATAGTAAAGAATAGAATAGTTACCTAGTATAATAACACAACATGAAATGACTGACACTGAAGAGAAGAACCCACCTCGGTTATTCTCACAGGCCTGTTTGTTGCAGGACTGGTAATTCACTCTCTGGCCCACACAGTATTTTCCACCGTTTTGAGGAGATGGCCGGCTGCACTCTCGGTAGGAGAACATCACTCCGCCTCCGCATGATCTGGAACATGGTTGCCATGGTCCCCACTCGCCCCAGCCTCCATCCACAACTGGCTGAACCAGAAGAACCACACAACCAAATGAATGTCAGACTACTGTGTGTGATTTTAGTCGCACTAGTGTCACCCAACCAAACAGCAAAAATAATAACCACTGACACATATAAGTGTCCATGATAAAGAAAAGAACAAAAAACATTTTAAAAATCAAACATTTCCTTTCAACTTGAATACATGTGAGTGTATACATCTTTATCAAGATTTTCAAAAAAACGTTTTTGTCATTCTACTCACTAATATAGTTCTTTTCACAGGTTTTACTTTTGCATTCATTTTTAGACATAATATATTTTAATGGCAAAAGTATTCTTTATCACAAATGATTAATTCATAAAAAAAAATATATCAGGGCAGTTGAATGAATTCCTGAATGAATTTTAATTCAGAAATGACAAAATAAGCTCATTATAAAAGAGGTGTAGAAAAGTCATTGTATGTATGAATTGCTTTTAATGTACACTGCCATTCAAAAGTTTGGGGTCAGAATAAATGTTTAATACTTTATATATTACAATTCAGCAAAGAGACATTCAATTAAAAGTTCCTATAACATTTTTATTTGTAATGTTACAAAAGCAACATGAATTCATGACTTTGCATAAACATACACGCCACTTTCAAGTCAAGTGGCGTGTTATCTATACGCATTTTGAGCAATCCGCGTGTATGTCCACGCCGAAACGAACCGTCATCTTTTGCGTGTATGTCTACGCCGTTAAACTTCCGAGTGATTCCGCGTGCATGTGTACGCCTTTAAATGTCCGAGCGAAACGAAGCAAAATTCATATCTACATCTGTGGAGCAATATTTTTTTTCCTAGGATGGTAGGGGAAGACTCATAAATTGTATTAACCCCAGTGACGGGTAGGTTTAGGGACGGGGTTGGGGTAGGTAATATATTTATTTATACAGTAATGTAACGTTAAGTCAACGGCGTTGATAAATACGCTGAAAAGCGATTAAGCGTGTTGATAGCACGCCAAAAATGGAAATACGAATTGGCGTGTCATACATACGCCATTTCATGAGATCAGTCTGTACAAAAGATTCAAATAAATGCTGTTCTTTTTAAAAACTTTCTACTCATCAAAGAATCCTAAAAAAAATGTTGGTTTCCACAAAAATCTTTAGCATCACAACTGTTTTTGACATTGATAATAATAAGAAATGTTTAATGAGCAGAAAATCAGCATATTAGAATGATTTCTGAAGGATTCTGTTTGACCCTTTTATTTTAACTTTCTTTATAATCTTCTGTGTTCCTAGTACTTATAAAATGATTAAATGAAAGGCTAAAAATACTATTTATGTTACTCAAGAGTATCTTCAAATACCTTAGGCTTCATGACTTCGTCTGAGGACATGCATACACTGTTCAGGCAGGTCCTGTTGGGGCCACAGCTTGTGCCGTCCGCCCAGGGAAGACTCCCGTTCCTGGTTGTGCACACAGACTGCCCTTCTTGCTGGCACCAGAGCTGTCTGCACACCTCACTGGCTGAAGTGTTGGGACAATGTGAAAACTCCTCTCCAAATATCTGTTGGCACTGGCGGTCCAGGCTGTAAGTTATGCCTGGCAGCTCAGTGGGTAAGGCCACTATCGTCTCAGGGGTGTCCAGCAAACAGTCTCCTGTTATTATCCAGAGGAAGAGTTAGAGGGTAGTAAATCATGAAATCAAAGGATTGTGAAACAGTAGGAACATTGGGCTCCTGGAGCTGACATTTAGGGAGACTTGCAGGAATGCACATCTGGGGGAGTGAGCCGCGAGGAGGAACACGAGTGAGCAGAAATGCACGTGGGGAACATGGGCCACTGCCCACTTCAACTGATACAGCAGTTAAAAAGGAAACGTGTGAGACCAATACTAAAGAGACGTGGACCGGTGGAAAGAAAACATTAGTAACATTCCCTTTTTATGAGTTGGTGTGAAGTGACAGGAATGCAGTCTCTCTGACTCAACGAAAAGAACTCGAAATTATGAATCTACATAAATACAAGCAAAAGGTGACGTAAAAGTGTTTTACTATAAACGAGGGGAACCCCTGACGCTCAATGTATAAGTTAAGCTGACTTTTTAAAGGCATTCATAAGAATATTTTTCCTGTGCTGTTGCAAATTCTTCCATTTTTTGAAGCTGGTGCACTGACAAATAAATTTTCAAAAAATGTAATGTGGTGTAAGTGTAGACATCTTAATCATTATTTTCAAAAGGTTTTTAAATGTACTTTTCAAGACAAATAGTATTTTTTATATTATTTTCATGAATATTACATTTTTGGAGAGTGGCACCACATGACATAATACTAACCTTGCTTTGTCATAAAAATAATAAAACAATATTATTGTATAATAATCAAATAATAATATAAAAAAAATGTATATACCCTGACACACAACCATGAGGGTCTGCATTAATATAATATAAAACAATAAATGCTATGGAAGAGATGACCCCATCTTCATGTTATAATTTCCTGTTTTATAGTTTGTTAAATATTAATTTAGCAAATAAATAATAAATATTATATACACACACACATTTAACTAAAAAGTTTTTAATAAATAATAATAAAAGATTATGGCAAATTAATTACTTATTTTCATTAATTTCATTCTTTTTTCTTCATTATAATATCAGGATAGTTGTATTACTCTGACATTTTTGACTTTATGACCCAAGAAATATCTAAATTAATGAATTAAAAACATGTTAAAAACAATAAATGTTTTCAAGTATATATGATATACTTTGCTGTATATGCTGTATATACATATACCATGTATATACATGATATACGCTGTATATATGAAATGCATTTTTCATGTATATTTGAATAAATGAATTGATGACAAAAAGAAAAAAAGTGTCACGTCATTGACCCAGTTCACATTTTGTGCACATACCATGTCCATTGTCGAAAAACTCTGTGACGTACAAAGCACTGCAGGAAGACCAAGGCGAGGTCTTACTGAACTGAGTGAATACAGGGGCCATGATATGGTGCTCGCCTAGATGTCCAAAAAGCTGCTCACAGTTCTTAGCGTCATCGTGCGGCATACTCAAAACATGGCCTGAAAGAAGAACAAAATCGCATTATGGAAGGTCCAATCAATTTAACAATCGCTTCGTGTTTACCAGAGGACATCCACACCTAGCTCATGGGCAGTCGTGTAAGCAGCCTGAAGGCCATTGTCTTCAATAACAGAACAGCTCCTTTTGGTGTCACACATGGTTCCAACATCAGCTACACCCAATGTGTCACAACTCTGATGTCCACAGATGTCCTGAAAGGCAGTTTAGGATAAAAATAAATGTAATTATTATTTCTGTTCCAGGTCTCTGCTTAATAGTAAGAGCGAAAAACATATTTGCCAGTGTTTCCATCATAAAACCAAGCAAATAAATAGTTTTGGCAGACTGCAGACCTATGAAGTGAGAAAATGTAACTATGTGGCGTCTAAAAATGTATCTCAAAAACATGACTGGAGACTTTTCCATCCTTTGCTTAGAGATCCGAGATGGAGACAAATGTTTCCAAAGCAGAAGACCACAAAACACACATGATTCAAGGCACATCTGGCCTTGGCACAGTCTGAGAGCCGGTCTCACATGTGTTCACCTTTCAGGGAAGCTAGTCGGTCTGCTCCTATTTTCAGCCTCGTTTTCGGTTTCAATATGCCATAACGTCTGCTCTAGTAATGAGCAATGCACCATACACTTTTTGACACACTTTTCAAGACACTCTTTGACAGGGCAAGCTCATACTTAAAGGGTTAGTTCACCCCAAAATTAAAAAAATTCCATCATTATTTAGTCACCTTCATGTCGTTCCAAACCGGTAAGATTTTCGTTCATCTTCAGAACAAATTAAGATCTTTTTGAAGAAATCTGAGATCTTTCTGTCCCTCCATTGACAGCTATTCACATATAAACATTGATCACCAAACATAAACAGAAGCTCAACCGAACCTGCTTAACGAGAACAAATCTCATTGGTTCTTGCTGAAGCTCAAACGTGCTGCGTAACACGAGAATGAACCTCATTGGTTCTCACACTTCAAGTGAACATGCTTGAGCTTCTGTTTACCACAACTGCTGTGTGAGTTGATAAATGTTTATATCTGAATAAAAGCCTAAAGTAAATCTGTTCATCATATAAAGTGATCGTGTCTCCTCAGAAAATTTGGACTTAACCACTCAATTCACATGGATTAGTTTTACGATCTCTTTATTAACGTTTTGAAGCATCATAGTGGTAGTTGCGTGGAGTTGCAATGGAGGGACAGAAATCTGATGATGAAGATGAATGAAAGTCTTACAGGTTTGGGACGACATGAGGGTGAGTAATTAATGATGGAACTTTCATTTTTGGGTGAACTAACCCTTCGAATCATTATGTTTATTTTAATTATGATTATTTTAATAATCTTTTGTCATGCTGTATAAGTACACTTATTTTGATGTTTTGACTAACATGTTAAAGCACATGTAGGCTAAAGTTATCATTTTAACTGTTGTTGTATGTTGTTCGATATTACATTTAAAGTTAAAATATTTTTAATTGTAATAAATTGCAACATCATTAAAAAAAACATGCTTAAGTGTACTTCTTTTTCACAAGGGAAGGCTATTCTAAATTCAGCTACAGTCAAGAATCTCACTTCATCATTATCCCATAAAATACATAATAAATCACTGCTCACCTCTCTAGTAAAAAGTATGGCTGTATCATAGTGCTCTGGGTGCCTGTGGCTGGGCGGGTTGAAGAGCTGTTGCCAGGCACAGAAGTTACGCAGAGCGACGCCTCCATTGCTGGAGACTGACGGTCCAACCTCTTCGTCCTCCACGATCAGCATCTTCACAAGCACTATGTTGATGGAGTTCTTAATGCTAGGATGTTTGTAAATCTGAGCAGCCATTGACATCAAGGTCAGCATGTAGTGCTAAAGAGAGAAAACCAACAGCTTGCTATTCACCAACTTGTGCAGCACAATGTTAAAGGTGCAGTAAGCGATTTCTGAGAAACACTGTTGAAAGTGGATCTAATCAAGCACCACAACAAATTTGTAGCCAATTAGCAGTAGGGGGCGTGTCCACTCATGATGGGGGAGGAGAGAGAGTGAGCAAAGACTGTAGAAAGAGATTTGTCTGAGAGGTAGGGGTGTAACGGTACATGTATTCGTATTGAACCGTTTCGGCTCGAGGCTTCCGGTTCGGTACGCATACAAACCGAACGATTCCTTGGACCATTTTTCCTGCCGACAAAATTCGCGCTGGCGCGACCACCACAACGTTGCGCAACATCAAATGGCAAGCGTAATGAAAGCGGAACGAAACTGCGCTACTCATTATGTGCTTCACGGATCGTTTATCAGTTCGGACCAGCAACATCTGTGCAGCGCGTCGCGAGCCGATCTCGATCAAGCGACACTGTTACAGCACAGCGCTAAGATCCAGTAAAGAAAACATTTGAATTCGCCACTGAAGTAATAACATCGCTGCGAGATCTAGTGAGAAGCATTCACATTTCTCCGTTATTAACCGTCGATCTCTATTAGATCAAACAGCGCTGACGTGGACACCAGGAGAAACATTGTGCCGTGAATGAACTGGTAATACTTTACGTCCACAGATCAGCAACATTCACCATGGATTTAATATAGTAACACTAACTGTAACCAGTTTGGCTGGAATAGTGAAATGCTTTCAAGTACTTCACACATCTTTTTCCAGCACTTTAAAACTCAAATATTATATAAATAAATATATGAAGAGTTCAGATGCAAAAGCCTCTAAGTGCCATTTGAAATTTTCTTCTAGAATGATCATTTTTATGAAGCTTGTATATTTAAGTTCAGTAATTTCACTCAAATGACAATTAATAGGTAAACTTCATTGCCATTTAAGTGAAATTACTGAACTTAAATATACAAGCTTGATAAAAATGATCATTCTAGAAGAAAATTTCAAATGGCTTTTGCATCTGAACTCTTCATATTTAAATGTTATTTTTAATGTGATGACCAAAACATTATTTGTTCATCCTTCAAAGATGACACCCATTTATAAACCTGAAAGTTTCAAGATGTAGGAAAACTCACACTTATTTAAAAAAAATATTTTTTCTTTTAACAAATAGGAAATTTCTCTGGCATTTCTTACTTTTTGCTGTATCGAAAACGTACCCGAACCGTGACTTTAAAACCGAGGTACGTACCGAACCGTGATTTTTGTGTACCGTTACACCCCTACTGAGAGGCCTTACAAAAGAGAAAAGGTCAGAGGAATATCACTTGAAAAAGAAGGGCTATGATCAGGCAAGAGCTTTAGAACCCATGTTAATAATAGAGAAGGTTTCCAACACTGGAGAGACCGAAGCGGGAAGGCCTGAAAACAGACGTGAGTAACATTGGTTTTGAATGTGTGCTGCTGACGACTATCAACTCTTGCTTTGAATATACTCTTGTGTTCATTTTATGTTCTTCCTTGTCGTTCGTTTGTCATCTACGCTTAATTAAGCTTCGCTTCTGCTATGATAAAGAGAAATTCCACTCTTTCATTGTATGTTCACGCATTTTGGAGGCGGAGCAATGAAGAGAGTGGTGTGTTTGTTTGGGTTGATTTCAAATATCAGCAGTGTTTAACAAAGATTCTCAGAAATCGCTTACTGCACCTTTAAGTGTAAAAGCATGACATCATTGGCAGGACAGTTCAGAACAGCTTGAATGGAATGGCTTTTACTCTGCATATTTTTCCAAGTTATTGTGGACAATAAAATCTCCAGCTTTTTCAGATGCAGTACACTGCAATAGACAATGCATAAAAAAAAAAGGTTAATATTTTGATAATGGAGACAGGATTATTGATTACTTTTAGCAGGCATGTCAAAATGTGTACCTGTACTGATTGCCCATTTACAGTATGTAATACATCATTCAATATTCTTTAAATGGGAATAATTATTAGCCGATAGAGATTATTCTGGAGATTTATTTTATTTCTGTTTACGCTCCACATAAATATGTGGTTTGTTTGTTGGAAAGCCCTGACGTCAACAGCAGAAGCAGCTGGTCTTCCATGGTATTCTTTATGAGGAATCTGCCAATTTGGATCCCAATATCGACATCTGGATTGAAATCTGCCTCATGATCCCGACCCAGACAGTGCATTTTTTCACACTCTAATTTTTTCCAATCATTTGTTTTCGATGACTCAATGAAAGAGAATTTCAGGGGGTGGTGGATCATAAGTGGGTGTGAAGATCAGTACAGTACAGTTCATATGAACCGTGACTAATTCTTGTACAACTGTAGTCTATGGTAGGCTATATACATTTTGAGATGTCCCTCAAGGTACACTAAATAGCTCTTACTGTTAAAGGTTTTATCATTCTTTCGATATAAGAACAAGTATGTGACTCCAAAGGGTGGGGTAGCCTATGATATTAAATAGTATTTGTAAACCTAAGATGGTTTGCAAGATGGACTCCCGGCATAGTCTGTCTTGTCTATTGACTGGTTTTAGCAGGGTTTGGGGCAACTTTAAATTAGCTAGACTGGAAGACCAGCTTTCTGACCTGCAAAACCAGCTTGGCCATGCTGGGAGACCATCTTAAACTATATGAGAACACCTTAAAACAGCTAAGACCAGCCAATTCAAAACTTACGCTTTTTTTTTCAAGATTTAATTAAAGGTCTAAAAAAAACTTAATTGTAGGCCTATGTAAAGACACTTATTAACTGGTGCAAGCTGCAGACCATCCTAGACCAGCAAACTCCAGCTACCAGTCGGGCATCCCATCTGAAAGTGGTCAGACTGCATGTTTTTTGTAAGATGATAGCTGGTCAACCAGAAAATGACCAGCTTGCATCATCTTGCACCAGCTACCATATTCTGACACAGATTTTCCAGCTGTCAAAATGGTTACAACTTGTGAACCCTTACCTTGATCTCATCTCCATAGAAATGTGTCAGGGAAGCGTCACCGACCACCAAAGTCTCAATAAACCTGGGCGTGGAGACAAAGCGCGTGCGCCTAGACGGCATCTGGATCATCGACTTTTGATGATCATCTCTGATATCTAACAGCTGTTTAGAGACCTGCGGGGACTTTGTAAAACGTCTTCTTTTAATGACATGCAGCTGCTCGGTTAACTTTCCATATGTTCCCGAGCCAAAAAGTTTAGGCTCGACTGTATATTCTTTACCATCTGTAATGAATGATCCTAAAATCCCACGACATAAACTGACAGAAACAATAGAGTCCTCATTGGAGTCAACAGCGCCGGTGTAAAAACAACCTTTTAATAAATCTGCTCCAGTCTCTTCAGTTTGATTCAAGGACTTATAAAGATATGTCGGGTTGCCGGTTGACTCAAGTCTTTCTTGTGGTTTGACTTTGATGCGATATACCTTCAGTGCTGGCGATATAAAGGTGCTGTCCGGTGTCAAATTAAGTGTGAAATTCCTGCCGAAAGCCGTGAGTCTGAAGCTGAGTTGTTCTTCACTCCTCTTTGCCACTCGTCCACCGGTCCTTCCAGTCAGCCGTACAGGTATAATCTCCTCAGTCTCAAACGAGTGAGCAGATGTTTCAGCACAGAGGCAAACAATTAATGTAGATATGATTAAACACGACCACATTTTCATAAAATGGCGCTGTTTCAAAAAGAAAACAATAGGCTAAATATAACGAATTGATTACTTAATCGAATTTACTATAGCCTCATGATACACTTTCAGAAACTGAATCATTGGTCTGAAAAATGTTAATATCCTAAACGTTTAAAATTACTATCCAGCACATGCCTTCATTGGCTTAAATCTATTTTGAAACTGAATAATTAATTATTTAATGCAATATCACTAGGTAGGCTACACAAATTGAATTTAAAAGAAATCGGAGCCAAGTTCGTGAAGTCTTAAGTCCAGGACTGTCTCACGGATTGAGGCGGTGGTATTTATACTTTCTGAGAAATGAGAGGTTTATTTTTGATATCCAGCGCTGCTGCAGTCTCTCCTCCCACTGTGCCCTCATGAAAAACCTCTGGATTGGGTTTGCCCAATGAAAACTGAGAAGCACGCCCCTTCCTAAATAGCAACAGTTTGTAAACTGAGTAGTTAATATTAGTGTATTTCTAGATTTCTTTTACTGTGGTTTTCATGTGCTAGGCTAATATGTTCCAGCAAAACGTCAAATAGGCCTATTTCATATATTTGCGACATTTTAATGCTTGATAAAGTGATACATAATATAGGCATACAGCAGATTTATGTATAAAAAAATAAAAAAATAATAAAAAAAAACTCAATGCTTAATTAGGCTACTCCACAAGTGCTGATTGATAAATGATCACCATTGGGCTGTTTTGAGCAATCTGGAGATCTGCTCAAGAGGGGCTAAACAATATAGTAGCCTAGGTTGTATGCAGATTGTTTAAAAGCATGGAGCTACATCACTATTTTAGAAATGTTCGACGTCAGCTGACTCAATGTAGCCTATGTAGATTGGGGACATAATGTTCAGTCCCCACAAGGTGGCAGTAAGACGTTGTATATGGATGTGCACAGACGCACACATTCGCTTTACTCATGTTTCGTTCTGATTCGTACTAGTCTGAAACAGTTGAGATATTCTGTGACTCAGACACCAGAGGGCGACGATGATTTAAATGAGGTAGAAATAGTTTAAAGACTACATTCTTATTAGTAACTATTAGTAGCCTACATAGATATTACGTAAAAATGTAGGCCTATTTAAATATTTGAAAGATAATCTGTATTTTTGTAGTCCCTCAACTGTTCTTTGCATTAGTGTACCTTATGTACCTATTAAGATTGATATTTTGCAAACAATTTTGTTCCATTATCTGTATTGTCTTAGGTTGCAATAAAACAATTGCATTCCAACTGCATTTAATGGCATTGAACTCCACCAAGGTTACGGTAAACAACCTTTTTATGAGTATTTTTCATGTTAACTATGTAGCCTATGATTCACGACCAGTTTTTATGCATACCAATCGACATTGGTATAATAATAAAAAGAGAACTCAATTCTCTATAAGCCCAAAGCAAGATTATACAGAATCTGTATGGCATTTAGGTCAGCACTGAGGGTCACAAACACCAGAAAAGGTTCTGATGCACATGCTAAAATCAGCAAACCGACGGAGTTTTTCTAATAACTAGACAGGCAAGTCCATATCGCGATATCAAATGTGACTTTTTCACTATGGGCAAGGGCAAAGAAGCTGCAATGTTCTACATGTGGTTCATTTGGCAGTTCATGCAAGAGTTCACAGTAGGTGTCATAATGGACAGTCATCTACTGTTTGTGCTGCTTCCAAAGAGCTTTCAAAGCCCTGTCATGACCACATGTGTGGAGTTCAGCTGATGAGAGGAGGGGTTGATGGTGGAAATGTGAAGGACTTTGCTACAGCATCAGTACACAAACTTGCAGAGCCTGAAGTTACAAATAAAAAAATGTGCACATTTTGGATTCAATCAATGATGGATGTGAATGATACAAAGGTAGCACCACTTCAGGGAATCCATGATGGTTAAAACGAGGAAAGACTGAATAGGTGTAAACACTGCACATATATTTGAATGTCATACTAATTATTAATACTATACATGGGTAATTATTATCCTTGCATTTGTTTAGAGGTGTATTGTAACAATATTGTGTATGAAATTGTTAATGATTTTCATTTGTATTAACTCTTACTGTCAAATGGCAATAAAAATAGTAGCCTAGGCTAACAACTTTATCTATTCAACTTCATGATTAATATGTTGTTCGTGAATATGATATTCGTGAATGAAGCTTTCTTCTTGTTATAGCCTAATTTGAACTATAGCCTATACACAGTATCATAATAGGCAGTTCTAAATGCACCATAAAAATACTTCTTTCCAAAATATTAGTCTTAAAAAAACACTTGAATACACGTAGGCTATTAAAATTAAACGGATATTAACCAGACACTTCTTTCTAAACGCATGTTGTGTTTACCCTTAGTTCACAGTTCTTTCAGGGATTCGGTTCCATTGAAGCCTTGTTTGAATCTTTGTTCATTGACTTCATTAATTATTAAACTTACTCTCATGGCTGCCAATAACTCATAAAGTTGTGAGTGTGTTTTAATGCTTTCATCACCTCCTCTCATTAATGGGCCTATCAAATATTTGAAATGATTTAAACATGCATTTCATTGCATTGCCTTTATTTTAATAATTTTATTCTATTTTTAGTAAAAAAAATTTAAATAAAAAGATAAAAATTAGGAGTAGCCTAATTAAAATTAATTTATCAAAAAAATAAACCCGTTAACGCAGTTCCCCCAAAGTCATTTGCCAAGTAGTCTATTTTCACACCTCTATGAAATGACAGGCATTTCTAATAGAGTGGGAGGTAACCTCTGAAGCGCGCCTGGCTTGATGCTCATATTTAGAGAGCCAGCGGTGTCTGCGGTGTTCAACATGAACCATGAGCTCTCATCTGAACCTCCCAAAAACTTATATTACAGTCTGCAATGTTTACATATGACGCAAAAGATTAAAAAAGAGAGAGCCGGTCTCACAGAGAGAAACACCATGGCGATGGATGGCGATTGTGGCAATGCTTAATTCTTATGACGGATGTACAGAACCATGATCGAGAGCATCACGGTGTGATTTACACTTTGAGGGATATATAATCGCCAACAACGACGATGTCGGTTTTCCCCGTTGTTTTGTTTTGTCACTTGCTTTTTTTAACGAAAATATACCTCTGTATGGAAACTGATTTTTGTGAACCTGTTCGACTTGACCGTGAAAATGTCCAAAGTCCTGACAAACTGAACAGAGAACTTGTTGTTTACAGAATAAACGCTTTTAATCAGGAATTTTATCTCAATCTTCTGCCTGACTCAAGTTTTCTGGCTCCTGACGGCACATTTCAATATGACACTTCATCTTCAAGTGCTTTTTTAGGACCTGCTCTTAGAAGATGCTTTTACTCCGGTGATATTAATGCAGACAGGAGTTCATACGCAGCTGTCAGTCTCTGTGAAGGTGTCCGAGGTGCGTTTTCTTATAACGGGATGGAGTACCTCATAGAGCGAAGGTCGACCAACACAGATGATGCTGAGAAAACGCACATCATCCGCAGGAGAAGACATCTTCACGCTCGGAACTCAACATCTCGGTGCGGAGTTACATCTGGCTTAAACCCGGGCGCTGTGGAGTCCTTAGAAAAGTACAAGCACGTGAAGGGACATACGAGGAACTTCAGAGAAACTTTGAGCAGATCGAAAAGATTCGCCTCTATACCGAGATACGTAGAGGTCCTGGTTGCTGCTGATGAGTCTATGGCGAAATTCCACGGTGACGACCTGAAGCATTACATTTTGACTCTCATGTCTGTCACTGCAAAGCTGTACAAACACCCCAGTATCTTGAACGCCATCAGTATAGTGGTTGTAAAGCTTATGGTGATTAATGAGGCAGAAAAAGGACCCAAAGTATCCAGTAACGCGGCACTAACCCTGCGCAATTTCTGCACCTGGCAGAAGAAGCTGAATAAGAACAACGACAAACACCCAGAGTATTGGGACACGGCTATTTTGTTTACAAAGCAGGTAAGAAATACATACGGGTCAATGCTATATTAAGTCATTTAAAATACCCCCCAAAAATTAATTCATACCAAATGACTTTAATACATCCCTTCTATGATGAACATGTTTTGTTGTTGTTTAAAAAAAAAAAAAATTATATATATACACACACACACACACACACACACATATTTGGTCAAGGTGCCAAGAGAGTATTTTAGAATAAAATAGAATAAATGTTTTTTCAAAAATGTATCAAACCACCATGAACACAAAGATTAGATTTCTACTAAGTGCACACGATTTAAGCTATATATTGTTAAAAGATTTCTCCTTTTCATCACCTCTGATACTATCCTGATTAGTCACTGACCCATACCTTCTTTTCCTAATTTGTTCTCTTAAAGTCACATGGTATGGCTGAGTTTGTTACACAGTAGAATCCCTTTCTAAACGAACATGACATGCCATCTGGATAGAAAATCGTAAAACATTTCTGGAAACATGTCAAAGCTAGGGAGTGCTCCTAAAAGAAAATGTAATTTTCTACCATTTGATTCCAATACAAACTTAAAAGCAGCATTACATCATCAGAAAGCTGAAAGCACACGTCAGGAGTTACAAAAACACTCGATAACACTGACTCAAGCAGAGGATTGATCTAAGTCAGCTGCTGCCTGCTGTGCCAAGATACCTGCGCTGCACCTGTTATTTCAGCAAGAATAACTCCATACCTTAATATTACTCGTAAATAAAGCAATACAAACTTCTTTTCTGCTAAACATTAAGTAAAAATGCTTTTATTTTTAAGTATTAAAAAAAGCGTTCATAGCTTCACAACTGAAAGCTGATTATTATATCCTCCTTCAAACTGCACCGCTCCTCATGTTTGACAGCATGAGAAAGTTGAACCATTTTTTTCAAGACACTATACTCAACGTTCCCAAATGGTATCCCTGAAGACTCCAGGTGGCTGCATTATGATGTTCTCACATGGTTCCATCTGTCCTCTTAACAAGGTCATACAGCTGTTTACAGGCATTCTTGACCACCCTCGCTGGTCCTGTGCTTCTCATTATGTCAATAGCCAATAAGCTTGTATTCTGATTTGACTAATTGGAATTAGACGGTTCACACACACATATATGCGTTGGATCAGACCTAAGCAATGAGGAAGATTTAAATGACTTCAGAGATTAATGAAGTGATTTATATGGTGTAGATGTTTCTGTCATCTTCATACTGCTCCTGAAACACTTGATGCTTGTTGTGTCACAATACAATGACTGATTTCACAGGACCTTTGTGGGGCCACTACGTGTGACACTCTGGGAATGGCTGATGTAGGCACCATGTGTGATCCCAAGAGGAGCTGCTCAGTTATTGAAGATGATGGTCTCCCCTCTGCCTTCACCACTGCACATGAACTAGGTGAGATCTATGTTTGGTTTTAAAGTCAGACTTTTTTGTGCAAAAAAAAGAAGGTGAACTGAAGGTCCCTGTCTGAGATTCACTCCCCAGTGCCCACCCTGAGACTGTCTGTGGTGTAATTATGTCGACTCCTTTAGGGTGATGGGATTTTAATGAGGCTTCTTACTCTTGAAATTCTATCTCTGATTCCTTGATCTTTAAACATGAATGTTGTGCCAGCTGTTTCGAGAAAAAAAAATCATACTGTCATACTCCATTACTAATTTAGTAGAACGATGACAACAACATTCAAGAGTTTTCCACATCTCTTGATCCCTGGGAAACAAAGGTTTAATAAAAGACAGATGAGAAAACATTAGCAGATGCTGAAAGAAGCACGTTCACTGTGGCTGGTCCATGAGTGCCATCCTTATATTGTTTGTACAGACCTATTCAACTCTTTGAACATATTTGAATGTGTTAGTCATTGTACACCTTGTAAACAGACTGATGATAGATAGATAGATAGATAGATAGATAGATAGATAGATAGATAGATAGATAGATAGATAGATAGATAGATAGATAGATAGATAGATAGATAGATAGATAGATAGATAGATAGATAGATAGATAGATAGATAGATATCAAATAAAATGTTGAATACAGTTTATTCAGTAAAGGTTACTAAAGTTATTGAATGTGACATGATGAAATTTTGACAAAAAATTTAAAGAATATTTTTGTCAATAGACAAACTGTGTCAAAATATAAATATTAATGTCCAAGTTCCTTTATCAAAATGAAAACTGACATGGCTTGACTATTTCTCTGGCTCTTGTCCAGGCCATGTCTTCAGTATGCCACATGACAATGTAAAGGCTTGTGAAGAGGCATTTGGAAAGTTGAAGGACAACCATATGATGTCTCCCACACTGATCCAGATTGACCACAACATGCCATGGTCTGTCTGCAGTGCTGCCATCATCACAGACTTCCTGGACGCTGGCCATGGTGAGTTTGCCGACTACTCTGTTGCAATCCACACTGACATGTGTATCTCAGTCACATCGATCAATACGCTCAGCACAAATGTACTCTATGGTCGCTCTCTAGGTGACTGTCTGCTGGACCAGCCCCAAAAGCTCCTGGCTCTTCCAGAGGACCCTCCGGGTGTCAGCTACTCGCTCAGCCGTCAGTGCGAGCTGGCCTTCGGCTCAGGATCTAAGCCTTGCCCGTATATGCAGGCCTGCTCCAAACTGTGGTGCACTGGGAAAGCTAAAGGACAGCTGGTGTGCCAGACTCGCCACTTTCCCTGGGCTGACGGGACGACCTGTGGAAGTAACAAGCTGTGCTACCGGGGGATTTGTACTGACAAGCAAAATACTACCAAAGACAAGGTGAGTGATAAATCTGACTGCAGACAAATGCTCTTGATCTGTCAGTCACCCCTGGATATTAAAATAGGCTAAGTATACTATTATGCTCCCCACAACTGCATTTATTTTGATCAAAAACAGCAATATTGTGAAATAGTATTAAAATTTAAAATAACTGTTTTCTATCGTAATATATTTTAAAAATATAATTTAATTCTGTGATGGCAAAGGTGAATTTTCAGCATCATTACTCCAGTCTTCAGTGTCACATGATCCTTCAGAAATCTTTCTACAAGATGATTTATAGCACAACCATTTCTTATTATCAATGTTGAAAAACAGTTGTGCTGTTTAATATTTTTGTGGAAACCAATTTTCAGTATTCTTTGATGAACAGATATTTAATTTGAAATATAAATATTTTGTAACATTATTAATGTCTTTACTGTCACTTTTAATAACTTTAACGTGTCCTTGCTGAATAAATGTTTTTGTTTCTTTCAGAAAACGTTTTTGTGTTGGACTTATGAACAGTGTATACACAGAATAGTGTACACACAATGTATACAATAAATTATTATATTATATTATTGATGAAAACTGTATTTTTGTCCAATTTTCCAGTAAAGAAAATACTAAAAATATAAGAAGTAAAATTTACCAAAAACTATGTAAGGCACTAATACTTGTTTTCATAAATGATAAAAAATAATTTGTTAAAAACAAAAGAAAAATTCTGCCTATGCACAATAACAAAAACACTTTTATTCAAGATATAATATTTGAAAACAAGTCTACAAGATACGATCTTATCCAGTGATGATTCTCAAATTAATTTAACTTGTTTTAGAGATTTTTAGATAATTTTTTAAGTGAAAAACTAGTTAAAAAAAATAAAAATAAATAGGAAGTCTTTTTTTATGTGTTGTACAATGTTCATGATAATTCTGCTGACAATTTGATGTTAGTCTAGGCTAGCTTAATATTTGCTGAGGATGTTCGCCAGTCTTTTCATCAGGTTTGTAATCATTTCTAAGTCGTGTGGACTCTTTCCGCAGGTAGATGGCCGTTGGGGTCGATGGGGTCTGTATGGTCCGTGTTCCCGTATGTGTGGGGGAGGGGTGCAGCTCGCCAAAAGGGACTGTAACAACCCCGTCCCTGAAAACGGGGGCAAGTACTGCCAAGGACTAAGAGTGAAGTATCGCTCCTGCAACATCGAGCCTTGCAAAGATTCAGGTAAACTAAATCTTTCAGCCTCATGTTAACCAATGAATGAGTCAATATCCGTGTCTGACGATGATTATTTGGGACAGGAAAGAGCTTTCGTGAGGAGCAGTGTGAGACGTTCAATGGCTTCAGTCTGAACACTAACAGACTGAGTCCGTCTGTGGTCTGGGTCCCAAAATACTCTGGAGTCTCTGTTAAGGACAGATGCAAGCTCATCTGCCGAGCCAATGGCACCGGTTACTTCTATGTCCTCGCGCAGAAGGTAAATAAATTGATATCCCCGCTTCAGTATTTCAAAGTTGTTTGACATTAGTGGTTTATGCAGGAGGAGTTCTGAGCCAGTTTTTATCTCATGGAAGGAATAACAACCCCTTTTTCAAAGTGAACAAGATACTTTTAAAAAGTAATGGTGGGAGCTTATCTCTCAGATATGGCTGTGTGGAATGACACAGTGCAGGGCTGCTTGTCACAATCACTCATGCTGTAGATGGGAAGAGAGAATCAGCCACAGTATCAGCAATCTATACAGCCGTCTCAGCTTACAATAGTTACACAACTACAACCATGTCCTAACCAGCTGCAACACAACAAAGCGACGAGTGATGCTACAGTCTGTTAGTCGCTTGGTTTCTATTTCTGAGCTAGCCACGCCCACATGACGTGTCCCATTGGACCAAAATCCTGCTTCTCGTGTATAGTAAATAAAAAAAAAAATCATGTTATGATCATAGTATTTTGCAATCCTTGGTCAACATACCACACACACGTGCACCCCTGTGCGTATTTATTATTACTGACTTCTGTATATTTCATACTTTTACTTATATGTATTTTATATAAGTTATTTATAATACTTTTACTTACTTACATTTCTAATACATTCTTACTTAAATCTTTCTTTCTCTTTAGGCCATTGAAACGTTTAAGAAAGGTTTCTTGAGCAGCAAATCAGCATATTGGAATGATTTCTGAAGCATCATCTGAAAATTCAGCTTTCCCATATAATGAATTTCATTCTCATTTGTATTTCTTTTTCTATTTAAATACTTTCATCCTCCACAACCAGTTATTGTTTTTGTACAATGATAAAAAATTTGACTTGATGAAACATGGACAAGGCGAGCTAGAAGTGTTCCTGTTGCTCATTTGGCAGAACATGCCACTAACAACACCAAGGGCATAGGTTTTACCAGGAACTACTCTTGTATAACTCAACACCCTTAAGTTACCATACTTAAAAAGAGGCCGATGGTGTAGTGATGGTGAATGTTATCTGTGTGACAGGTGGTGGACGGAACCACTTGTTCCCCTGACACCTCAGCGGTCTGTGTTCAAGGAAAGTGCATCAAGGCTGGCTGTGATGGCAAACTGAGCTCCAACATGAAGTTTGACAAGTGTGGTGTGTGTGGTGGTGACAACCAGAACTGCAAGAAAGTCTCTGGAATGTTCACAAAACCCATGTAAGTGCTTTATCTTTGAGTGAGTATATGGTTTTAATTTGATTTATATACATCTTTAATATTATTATTTATTTGATTGTAATATATGGGTTAGTCTGGTGGAACAACTTCCTTACCCATAATGCTATAATTTATTTCACCTGTCATTCCAGTACAACTTCCGATTTAACTTCTAATTCAAATTCCTGAGCTGCGTCAAAAATTCAAATTCATGCGTCAAAAAGAAGCCAAATCTTTAATTCCGAATATTGTCCAATCCTGTGATCTGCTTTTACAGGAATGGATATAACTTTGTGGTGACTCTACCGGTCGGAGCAGCAAACGTGGACGTAAGGCAGCGTGGTTACCGCGGTTTGATTAACGATGACAACTATTTAGCAGTAAAGAATGTCCAAGGTAAATACCTCCTGAATGGAAACTTCGTGGTTTCAGCGGTAGAAAAAGACATTATCGTAAAGGGAGGTTTGCTGCGCTACAGTGGAACCGGCACATCGGTGGAGACGCTGCAGGTCACTAGACCTCTCAAAGAGTCTCTCACCGTGGAACTGTTGTCGGTGGGTAAAATGACACCGCCTCGCGTGCGCTACTCCTACTACCTGACTGTGGGAAATAAACAGGGCAAGATCTTCAAGAAGGAGGAGAAGAACCCTGCGCATAACAGCGTGCTGGAAGACAGCAATAAAGTGGAACTGAAGAAGCCGGCCTATCAGACGCCGTCTTATAAGTGGGTAACGGCGGATTGGAATAAGTGCTCAGTTACCTGTGGGAACGGGGTCCAAAGTAGATTGATACAGTGTTTGGACTCGGATGGGGAAACAGCCACACACTGTGACGGCACCCAAAGGCCCAGTACTATGAGGGTGTGTGGTGACCCTTGCCCAACGTGGAGCATCGGCGAATGGTCCTCATGCTCTAAAACCTGCGGGAAAGGCTATAAGAGACGCCCACTGCGATGCATCTCTCAGACTGGGCTGCTTTTACCTAGAGACCATTGCTCAAGCAAAAGAAAGCCACAGGAACTGGACTTTTGCACCGTTCGGCCCTGCTAGAGACCCATTATGTGTGTTCTGGGACCCATTTTATGGAGATAAAACGTGAAAAGCAGTGATCTTTAATACTTGTGCGTTCTGTGGTGCCTCACTTTTTGTAATGGGAATATCGTCATGAATTAAAAGACAAAGACGATGAGGAATTTTACCATGTCGCATTTTAAGGTATAGTTAGATATCACCTACCTCGAAAAGGACAGGGTGTTTTAAAGCAACCAAATAAAACAGACCACGTAAAGTTGTAAAATGTTGTTACGGCATTAACACTGTCACAAAACAAGACTTTTACAGCATCTCCTCTGCATGTGGTTTGTAGATAAAGTGAAGATATCCGATTTGTGGCAAAAGTGTTTTGAGTTTGTATTCAGACTTTATATACATGTGAATAATTTGATCTAAATGTGAAGCATATTGTATGCAAAAATAGGGCATCTTGGTCCATGCACTATTGATAATTTGTATTCGTATATTTAGATGAGCTAGTCGGTAGATTAAAGTGTTCCTAATCCTTGAGGGTCCAACAAGCAGAATTTAGGGTTACATATAAGTATAGAGAAGACAAAACAATGGCGCCGAAAGTAGGCTTTTAGTTTGAGTTTATTAAACATAATCAGTATCTCACCCTGTCATTTTGGGCTGAAGAGGACAGATTCTGAAAACATATACATTAATAAAATAAATAATGTTAAAGTTTAATATAATGGTACTGTACACAAAGGGATAAAACAGTTAACATACTATAAATAAATCAGTTAATATACTTTTATGGCAATAAACTTTATCAGTTCAGCTATCTATATACTGTAAGTATACCATAAGAAAGTCTTTTGGGTCTTGTAAAACTGAACTCTGCTAAAAGATGCAAATATTGTACAATGACTGCCCTAAATCTAAAAAGAAATATTAAACAAAAATATAAGTCTTATTTTGCCTGTATTCATAATACACATGCAGCTGCTATGGCCACTATGATTTTAGTAAAGTCACCATGTCTCCTGGATGGAAAATCAAGTGTTTTATTGTAAATTAATTAGATGTATTCTCTGCTGGACTTATGAAGATGTTTTGTAATTTGTGCAAACAATCCCTGTAAACCAGATGTTGTTGCTGAGAGCATCTCATTCATTTAAAAGGTGCTCCCTTATTTCATTTTTTTTTTTTTTTCATCATTTGTTAATACAGCAAAAGGCACTCATGTTTTTTTATTGAAATTCATTGTATACTATGTATACATCCATCGACTGTGCACAAATAAATACAGAAATTACATGAAATAACGGTATCTCCTCACACTATTGGGTATGGGGAAGTATAGATCATGAATATGTTAACGAAAAGCCTCAAACTGTACTGAAAAGTCATTTGGTCATGCATGCCACACTACAGGTAATCACTTTACCAAAGGCTGGATGAAGCATCATGGACAATCCCATAGTATTCAGCGACACGGTAATTCTGCTGAGACGACTGAAAATTCACTACCTTACGCCTGATAATCCTTTACAATTGTGTGACAGAGCTCAACCATCTGAAAGACTGGTAGACCGATAGATAGATAGATAGATAGATAGATAGATAGATAGATAGATAGATAGATAGATAGATAGATAGATAGATAGATAGAGCATCAGAATGGATGGATGCTTTTTCAGGTGAAATCTAGAAGTGTTCATAAGTGCATTCATAAGCAGTCACATTAAATGGGACTATTTCTCTTTGCCAGCCCTGCACATCCCCTGTCAATTAAAACCAGTGGTGTTCAGCTATTTCCAACTCAACGATTTCCAACTCAGTGATTTCACAACAAATGAAATGCCCCCCTTCCAGAATTATAACATTAGTCGCAGCAAGCACTACCTTGGCATTAAAATTACAGTATTAAAAAGTCAAAAGCACTACCTTCTCGAGCCAAGGTTAAATTAAATCATACTTTTAAATCTAAAATAATAATTAAACAATATAATACATATCATAATTTAAATATTATTTATGTTATAAATAAAATATAGTTTTTACACATCAAAACAAGCAAATAAATGCACACCTTTGTAGGCCTGAGTGAATATTTGTGCAACTCTTTCCTGCCCTATATATCAGTAGTCCCTTTAAATACATGTGAATTAAACGTGGAACAATGCCCCATATCAGCACAGTATGCTAATGCCTATCTCAGTATGCAGATTGAGGACTGTTGGGACAATCCAGACACAGGATGGTTCAGTTTGGGGAGGTAGTCGCTTGCAGGGGCACACACGTGCTTTCCATACTCTACTTGTGTGTTCTAACGTGTAGGTCACTGTGATTTTGCCAAGACAGACATGCTCCTGGGTCAACATATTTTGTTGATCCTGGAACAACATTCCTAAAACCTTTGTCCTAACCCTATCCCTACCCCTAAACCTAACACCAGCCATAACTTATCCCTTAAATCAGAGGGAAATGAGATGTGAATAACACTGATGCACTGGTTGTATAAGCTTAAACTTGACATAAACTGTAAACTTGTCCCTCAAATCTGATTGGTTGATTGGAGTGTTGTCCCAGGATCAACAAAGATGTTGATCCAGGAACATATTGTAGTTGGTGAAATCACATTCACCCATGTAACTATGTCATGGTTGGTCTCATCTGACAGCTTATAAACTGAATAGTATTGTGTTGAACTTAATAGAGATATTAAAGTATCCAGATGTTTAATCTAACTATTGCATAAACATGCATTTAGGAAAATATGTTAATGTGCTTTCTCCCCTCGTGATCACCACCCATTTGCCTTCAGGTTTATGGTCTTTTGGTTTCCTAACAGTTGGTTTTGGTGTTTGTATTCCACTGCTTTGCTCATGTTGTAAGAAGGAAAGGTAACTGTTGATCTAGGAGAAAGCTGAAACTACAAAAAAGCCAGTGCCTACCTGATTTGTTACAGCTAAATTATACAGTATGTTGTTCCATTCTACTGTCTGTATCGTAATAGACCACATGGGAGCAGACGTCCCAGTTGTCACTGCAGAAAATTGTACGAGATTGACGGAATAAGAGAAAAAATGTCTTGTTGTGCCTTTGGATGTCAGACTCGGAATGCAAAAAAGGGTCTAATTTTGGTTTCACTTTATTTGGATGGTCCCTTTAACACATTCAGTTGACTATACTATAAGTAACGTTGCACCAACATCTCTACTAACTCTCACTAGAGTGTTAGTAGAGTATTAGTAGACTGGTAGGATTAGGGTTAGAATAAGTTGACATGTAGTTGCAAAGTTACTTAAAGTCAGTAGAATGACTGTTGGAGGAGCATCACAATAAAGAGTTGGCAGATATTAAGCAGACAGTCTACTAATACTCTAATGAGAGTTAGTTGACATGTAGTTGCAAAGTTATAGTCAACAGAATGTTCAAAAGGGATCATCAAAATAAAGTGTTACCCTAATTTTTTCAGAATACCATGGTTGATGACACTGTGGGATTACCTATTTTAGGAATCTGTTTAAGATCTGCTTATCCTACGTCCTGACATAACATCACATGAAAAACTAAGGTGAAGAACATTGTATTTAGCATTTAAAGGGTTAGTTCACCCAAAAATTTAAATTCTGTCAGTAATTACTCACCCTCATGTTCACTCAAAAAAATGGTTTTGTGGCACTGTTCTTTTTACCCAAATATGTTTTGTTAAAGTAACACACATATATTTCTTTTACCACCAAAACACTATTGTATTGCGTTTAATTAACTTAACCTGTATAATTTTCAACTATACTTAATTATCATTCGTTAAAAAAATGTGACTATTTCCAACGTATTGGATGACGATGCCGTGTGAAGAAAGTGGAAAGGTGCATGGCCTCAGAGAAAACATAAAGTTAATCTAAAGGCAAAGTCTTTCATTTCTGTGAGTATTTCAGAAAGTCTGTCCTGGAATGCTTTAAATATATTGCAATGAAAAAATATATATATTTTGGCTGCTTGTTCAAATTGCTTCAAATGAGCTTAAGCAACACAATTGCTACATTTTGTCCAAACTTAATTTGATTGTGTTCAATCTGCTTAAATATGTAAAATTAAAGTTTACTTAATCCGTTTGTGTTGGATTACATGAATGATTTGTGTTGCATTAACTTAAACTGGGCGGTGCTTGTTAGTTCCCAGCATGCTTTGCATAGCTGAATTAAGAGAGAATAAATGTTGAAATTAAGTGTTATTTTATGTGTTTTTGAAAAAATGAGGAAAGGGGAAGACTTTATAGTGTGTAATTGTGTTTAATGTTCAATTACATTGCAATTATTAGAACCATTTAAATTACAGTGGGTTACCATTGTGGAGAAGAGTGGAGCATTTGGTTAGGTTGTGGACTGATTAATATAATATAACTCTTGTTGCTGAAAGAGCTTAAACATCTTAGCATTTAATATGTTAATAAGTGCTATTATAAGCTAATAGCAAGCTATAGTATAGCATTTCAATTGAGAAATTATGTAAATCCTACATACTTTTATTTGTCAGTGAAGATTTAAATAAACTAAAGCATGTTCACTAAACATAACCGGTTTAAGTTACAGGGAAGCAATTCCATTGATTTGTTTGGACTCATTCAGTTGTGTTGTCACAACACAAGGAGCTTACATAGATTAAAAAAATCCCATTAATGTTAATAAAACGCAATTTGCTTGTGTGGAACCACTGTCCATAATTAAATTAAGTAAGTTTAAAGAGTGATTTTTTTTGAGTGTTGTTCCAACCCCGTAAGACTTTCGCTCATCTTCGGAACACAAATTAAGATATTTTTGATTAAATCTGAGAGCTGGATCACTCCTCCATAGGCTTCTTAAGGGATCGAAACTGGCCGGCCCAAAAGTTATGAAAGACATAACTCAGAGTGACTACAGTGGCTCAATCTTAAGTTTATCAAGCGACGAGAATACTTTTTGTTCGCAAAAAAAATAAAAAAATAACGACTTTATTCAACTATTAATTTACTTCTCTGTGGGCCGTGAGATTTCACGTAGTGATATTGCGCAAAGCTTCTAGGTTGCACGTCACACGTAGGCTCACTATTGGCCGACGCTGGTCATGTGTGTGATGCGTGACTACAACCTAGAAGCTTTGCGTAGTTTCACTAC